AGCTTCGGGTTTCAAGTTTTGGGTTTTGGGGTTTGGGCTTCAAAGCCATGGTATCGTAACCCTAAACCCTAAACCCTAAACCCTAAACCCTAAACCCTACACCCTAAAATATCACTTCTGCCCTTCTTGGCTTCAAGATTCTTTCATAAAACCGTAGCCACGCCCAGAAAGCTTACCCTAATGAGGCTACTGTGCTACCAGGAAGTTTGAAGTGTAGGGCTTAGGGCTTTGTGTTAGGGTTTAGGGTTTAGGGTTTAGGGTTTAGGGTTTAGGGTTTAGGGTTTAGGGAGAAGAAGGTGGGTGGGTGGGGGGCTTAGCTGCCGAAAGCGCTACTGGAAGAAGCCTGAATTCCTTCCACGCCTAAAGCAGCTTTACCCTGAACTCTAGGGTCTAGGGTCTACCCTGAACTCTAAACCCTAAACCCTCAACCCTCAACCCTAAACCCTAAACCCTAAACCCTCCACCCTAAAAACCCTACCCTTCTGCAGGACTTGTGGGGCGAGCCGGTCGGCTTTTCCGAACTCATCAGCATCAATGACCAGGTGCCCGTGGCTGTCTTCACTTGTGGTTGTGTCCAGGGTTTGGGTTTAGGGTTTAGAGGGTTTAGGGTTGAGGCGGTTCTATAGTAAGGATTCATAGAGTGCGCTGGTAGGGCAACCGCCCTAAACCCTAAATCCTAAACTCTAAACCCTAACTTTACGGCTGCGGGTGCTGCAAAGCCCAGAACAAAGCCCCTCGAACCTGAAACCCCCAAACCCCCCAAACCCCCCTAAACCAAACCCCCCCCCAAACCCTCCGAGCCACGAACTGCAAGGTCTGGGATCCCAGGAAGCTGTCCGGATCTCAGCTGATGCTAGGGTTCAGGTTCAGGGTTAGGGTTTAGAGGTTTGGAGTTAGGGTTTAGGGCTTAGGGTTTAAGATTTAGGGTTCAGGGTTTAGGGTTTAGGGTTGAGGGTTTAGGGGGTTTAGGGTTCCATTTAGGGCTTGGGGTTTTTTCGTGGCCCATATGTGGAGAATTCAAGGCTAGGGCTCAGGGCTCAGGGCTGAGGGCTTCCTGTTCAGGGTTTAGGGTTTAGGGTTCAGGGTTTAGGGTTTAGGGTTTAGGGTTCAGGGTTTAGGGTTTAGGGTTTGGGGTTTAGAGTTCAGGGTTTAGGGTTTAGGGTTTAGGAGGTTTAACCTCTTAACGCCCAAGCCGAGCCCCGAAATCCCAAAGTCTAAACCTCCAAAAAACCTAACAACTCTAGGCTTCACAAGGTTTTTAACTTTGGGGCTTTTTAGGGTTTGGGGTTTAGGGTTTGGGGTTTAGGGTTTAGGGTTTTGGGGATGGTTTGCCGTACTGAGGTTTCCGGCTATGACCTTTCAGCGTTTGGAGTTTACTATTTCGCAGCCAAGTCAGCCCCCCTGAGGCTTGAGAGGCCTTTTACCCTAAACCCCCCAACCCCTAAACCCTAGACCCTAAACCCTCAATCCCTAGACCCTAAACCCCTAAGCCGTTGAAGGCTCCTGCTTTGATGGCCTGCACTGGCGTTAGGGTCGAAGTCTTGGGGCTTGTAGAGTTGTTTAGGGTTTAGGGTTTAGGGTTCCGTGTTGTAGGGCACCAGTTTGGACATACTTCCCAAACCCTGAACCCTAAGCCCTCGCTGAAACCCAAGGCCCCTTGTAAGCCCTACTCGCAGAATCCTTGTGGTTTTGGGGTTCTAGTGCTCCGGCTTTAGGGTACTTAGGTTTATTCGCCCCTCCCCCTACACCCTGAACCATGAACCCTAAACCCTACCAAGACATAAACATCAGACCAAATCTCCTCTAGTCTAAACTTAATTGAAACTCAATAAAAACCTTTGCACATTCAGGCTGTCGGGCTTCCGTTCCCAAACAGGAATCCTAAACTCTAAACCCTAAACCCTAAACCCTAAACCCTAAACCCCCTAATAGAAGGAATTCTGCCCCAGATCGGATTTCGGTATTACAGGGGAGGCGGCGAATTTAACAATAGAGGGAAAAGAATGAACACCCAGGCGAGCCCTTGGTGTAGGGTTTAGGGTTTAGGGTTTAGGGTTTAAGAGGATCTTGTTTAAGGAAGCGATCTTGGTAGCCCAGTGGTACCCTCTTCCCTTTTCTGGGTTCGAGGTTCCCTTTAAAGTAACCAGCCCCTCCAGAAAGCTGTACCCTTATCATGATGGGCTACCAAGGTAGTTCGTGCCCAGACTACGCTGTGGTGCTTTACCGTAACTTTAGATCCTTCGCCTTTTTGGGTTTATTGGGTTTCTTAATAAGGAAGCTAAAAAATAGATTTGTAGCTACCCTGCGAAGTGCAGCCCAGACTACCTAAAGCTGGAACCCCGAATGGATCGTCAGGGTGTCGGGGCCACGACCGAATGCTCTTGGCAGCTGCCGCCTTCTTCAGTTTCAAATCGAACGAAGTACGAAACATCGAGCTCTGGAGCCGTGAAGTAAACCCCCCAAAAGGTTGGAACATCCCCTATCCCATTACCCCAGAAGCTCATTCTGCAGAGTGTGATTCGATTATACGAAAAGAGAAGAAGAATGTTGTAAAAGAAAAATCATTGTCAGTAGAGTAGCGTTGTCTGATACAAATTCTAGGTATACTAAAGGGAGTCTCAACCATGTTCTGGAGTTTACCGTAAGCCGCGAAACATGAGCCCCACACCCTACGCCTAAAACAAACCCGTGTCCTACGCTCATGGGGAACGCCTGTCACGGTTGTCCTTGCAAAACTCCTAGTGAGGCCCTACATCGTGCACAAGCGGTGGCAAGAATAAATCCTGATTCTACAGACATCTTACACTTACGTTTAGGGTTGAGGTTTAGGGTTCATGACGCCCGAAGGAACAGATTGTTCCTACTTTGCATGCGCATTTGCTTCTACGGCATCCGGAAGGATTTCTCCCTAAACCCTAAACCCTAAACCCTAAACCTTAAACCCTAAACCCTAAACCCTAAACCCTAAACCCTAAGCCCTAAACCCTAAACCCTAAACCCTAAACCGCAAGCCCTAATAACCTAAACCCTAAACCGGGCCTGGGCACCCCCCAGCTGGTCACCTTCAGGCTCAGCCAGGGAAACCCCCAGTTTTTTTTGAGCAACGCCTGGAGGTTCTCCCCTAAACCCTAAACCCTAAACCCTAAACCCTAAACCCTAAACTACCTAGACCCTCGTTTGGGGATTGAAGCTTGGGCTCGGTTATCTTCGGGCCTTTCAGGGTCGGCCTTCTAAGGTTCCGCCCAAGCCTTTCAATGGAGCCCTAAACCCTAAACCCTAAACCCTAAACCCTAAACCCTAAATTCTAAACCCTACACCCTAAACCCTAAACCCTGAACCCTCAACTGCAAATTGCCAGGGAGCTTGAAGAGGAGAAGGCGCAGAAATGCTTCGGGCATCGCGGTTCTCTCACGGTTGGCTACATGTGTTGGGTCCAGGGTAATCCTAAACCCTAATCCCCTCCCCGAATATTAACCCCCCCCCCCGCTTACCCCTAATACTAAATACCCGCAGTATAGCTATGTTCTGGTTTTTTTTTTGGGGGGGGGGTAGGGGGCGGGTTTAATGTTAGTCGGAAGGGACTACAGAGTGCACATGGTGCCTCAAGTACCCCAGAGGCCCCCTTACCCTAAACCCTAAACCCGAAACCCTAAACCCTAAACCCTAAACCCGAAACCCTGAACCCTGGGCACGATCTTCTTCTTGCTGGTTCTTACGTTCTCCTTCAAAGGGTTTATATATTGGGATGTTCCCCCTTATGCTGACAGTTCTTAGTCGGGATTATAGAAGGGGGAACTATAATCCCTACTAAGGACTGTTAGTCTAAGGGGGAGCATCGCAAGTTATGTATCGCAAAGAAGTAGTTCGCATGTCTTATGTGACTGCATGAGGCCATTTCTCGGAGGGCCCTACAAATACGGGCCGCCTAACCTTAAACCCTGAAACCCTGAGCCAACAACAAGAACCTTAGCTTAGGCCACTGGCAATCTACGGTTCAGGCAACGCACTTGTGGTCTTAGGGCTTGAAAAGGTACAGTGGTACCCTTTTGCTCTTTTAGGGTACTAGATTCCTTTCGCGAAGGTAACCAGTCCCATGGGCTACCAAGACACTTAAGGACTAGGGTTGTCCCTAATTATCTTATAGTACATAATGTACAGACCTCCAAGCAAGTGTTGCAAGATTCGCGTAGTGTGGATCTTCTCTCGACTTGCTGTTTGCTTATCCTATAGGAGTTGTACACGTTATTTTGAACTTCCGATTTCTAATGGGTGGTTGTCAAAATTAAGTCCCTTTTGAGGTCGCTAGAATAATACGGCACCTAATAGATAGGGTGTCCAAAATGGGACCCTTGTCTTGACAACTATCCATACGCCGTAGCTTTTGCTGTCGCGGTCCAGTCATGACCTTGAGACTCAGCGCTCTAAGCCCGAAACCCTAAACTCTAAACCCCCAAACCCCACTCTTCTTCGGAAACAAAGCGCAACGGAGCCACCCAAAATCTCTCAAGCCGGGGTGCCTTTAGAGTGGGATTATTAAGGGTTTGGTGTCTAAGGTTTGGGGTAGGGTCAACAGGCTTCTAGTGATTCTTCGGCTAGTCTAATGGTCCCTTAATACGGGCCCGTAAAAGGGAACCCCTTTATGCACCCCATACCATGCCCAAGGTCCCATACTTCAGAACCCTTTAAAGTTGGTAAGGGACCATGTTTAGGGCCCATATAACTATACTTAGAGGTTTAGGGTTTAGGGTTTAGGGTTTAGGGTTTAGGGTTTAGGGTTTAGGGTTTAGGGCGCTAGCAAAAAGGCTACAAGAATGGCTGGGGTTGAAAGGAACAGAGGCCACCAACGCCTTTGTCAAACCACCCTTAGGAAACCCAGAGCAAAGCCCTGAAGGCTGCCAAAACTCCAAGCCAAATCCAAAAAGCACGCAGGCAACCCGGGAAACTTCATCAACCCTAAACCCTGAACCTGAAACCCTAAACCCTCAACGCAAAAAGACGCCATGAAGCCGCCCACCCTCGTGCTGCTCCCCCTGCTGGCGGCGGCACCCGCGCCGCAGATGCCCGACATCAAGGGCTCCTGGAGCTGAATTGGGTTTACGGTTTAGGGATGTTTCGGGTTTAGGGTTTAGGGTTTAGGGTTCAGTGTTTAGGGTTTAGGGTTCAGGGTTCAGGGTTCAGGGTTTAGGTTTAGGGTTTAGGGTTTGCTGTACTGTAGCGCGGATGCTGTGAAGGTTGGAATGCAGAAGAGGCTCGACGGCTTTGCTCGCTGCGAAGAGCAGCGCTGGGCCGATTGTGCAGGGCCATCTAACACCTTTCTCCCTCCTCACGGCGGGTTTAGGGTTTAGGGTTGAGGGTTGAGGGTTAAGGGTTTAGGGTTTAGGGTTTAGGGTTTACGGTTTAGGGCGTCCAAGACGGCAAAGCCACCCAAACCTATTCTCGAAAGGGTTTAGGCCTAAACTCAAGTCAAGTCCATTGCCGCCTCCTCAGCAGGTCCACGGCGCCGCCCTCCCCACATCACAGGGGGGGCGGCCTAGGCCTTGAGTGTAGGGTTTGGGGTTTGGGGTTATAGGGTTTAGGGTTTAGGGCTTAGGGTTAGGGTTTAGGGTTAGGGTTTAGGGTTTAGGGTTTAGGGTTTAGGGTTTAGGGTTTAGGGTTTAGGGTTTAGGGTTTAGGGTTTAGGGTTTAGGGTTTAGGGTTTAGGGTTTAGGGTTTAGGGTTTAGGGTTTAGGGTGCCTTCAGGGTCTTGAGGACCTTCAGGGCCTGCAGAGTTGATAGGCGGTTTGCTCTAATCACTGTCTACTTTTTCGCGAATCCCTAAACAGAATGCAAGGGCCATATTCGAAATATACTAAGGGGGGGAACAACCATAGGCGGTTACTAGTCTTAATCCCTTTCTAAGGGTAGTTACATGGCCCCTTGATGTGGTCTTTTTCCTCATTTGAAGGGTTCTGCTGTACGGGGGTCCTTAATTCATAACTTGCATCGGTTATACAAGGGGTATATCTGGGATCCCCGTTTAGGCGCCCATACTAAGGGACCATGGAACTACCCTGAGAAAATTCAAGATCTCTTTTCGAGGGCATCCTGCTGTAAAGGAGTGCCGCTCTAAAGCTGCCTCCACGCGCGACCCCAAGTTAGAACAGCCCCGATTTAGGGTTTGGGGTTTAGGGCTTCGGGTTGAGGGTTTAGGGTTTAGGGTTACGTCTCCAAAGCAAAAACCCTAAGAACCCAGACCTCGGAAGGTCGAGATTGACACCTCATGGGCCCGCCCCATGAACTTGGCTCTTGTAATCCCGAAAGTGTACCCATGAGCCTTCAGTGGCGGGGGGGGGGGGGGGGGTCGGAGACAAGACCCCGAAGTTATTCTGTGGCAACAGCGCAGAGAGGAGCATTGCAGCATTAATAGTAGCCGAGAAAAGAAGAGACAGCAGGAGGAACTGGGTATGGGTAGGGTTGAAAGGAGGAGGAGTCTAAACCCAAATGCCCTAAGTGTGCGCTTTATCTCATACAGACCTCTAGGGGGCAAGGGCGCTGGCAGTGACTAACAAGGGCCAAGCAAGCCCCGAATAGGGACTCAGTGAGGAAGCATCATCCCCCACACCCCTGCGTTCCCTTCCCTCCACCCCCCATCTTGCGCTGTGTAAGCTCCTTCATGAGAGTCTCAACCCTACACCCTATAAACCCTATAAACCCTATGAGCCCTATAAACCCTCTAAACCCTATAAACCCTATCAACCCTACAAAGCCTATAACCCCATAAACCCTATAAACCCTATAAACCCTACAAACCCTGTAAACCCGATAAACCTTATAAACCCTAAATCCGAAACCCTAAAGCCCTAAACCCTAACCCCTAATTAACCCTGAACCCTGAACCCTAAACCCTAAACATCCCTAAACCCTAAAACCCTATAAACCCTACAAACCCTATAGACCCTATAAACCCTATAAACCCTACATCCGAAACCCTAAAGCCCCAAACCCTAACCCCTACTTAACCCTGAACCCTGAACCCCAAGCCCAAAAACCCTAAACCCTATAAACCCTATAAACCCTATAAACCCTATAAACCCTATAAACCCTACAAACCCTATAAACCCTATACACCAAAAACCCTGACTTAAGGTATGCCCGGCATGTCAAACGCCTTCGCCCGCGGGGGGCCGCCATGGCGCAAGGCCACCGAGAAGGTCTTCAACGAGGCTCCCCTTGGTCATAGGGGTTTTAGGGTTTGGGGTTTTAGGGCTTAGGGGTTTGGGGTTTGGGGTTTAGGGTTTTAGGGGTTTGGGGTTTAGGGGTTAGGGGTTATAGGGTTTAGGGTTTAATTAGGGTTTAGGGTTTAGGGTTTAGGGCTCTGAGCAGGCAACTAGGAAACGGCACACCCGCCCCCTTCGACCCCCTTGGAGGCAGACCCTGGAAGGCCCTGAATCACTAGCCAGCCTTCGGCAAAGCAGGTTCTTTTGGGTTTAGGGTTTAGGGTGTAGGGTGTAGGGTGTAGGGTTTAGGGTTTAGGGTTTCCGCTGTTCCCTTTTTTGGTTCAAGGTTCCCTTCTAAGAAATAGCTAACCCCAAAAAAGGTTGCCCTTCTCTTGGTATGGTTGCTGGGCTACCAAGTAGTTGTAGAGTAGGTAGCCTTGAATCCTTTTGGGGGGGTAATATATTCCCCTTACAATCCCGAAGGTAACCCGAAGGCCCAGACCCCAAGTCCGATAACCCCCCGACTTGTGTTTTAAGCCTTGAACTCTCCACCCTCAAAGAGCCTTGAACTCCCCTCAAGAACATCCCCGGGCTCTAGGCCCAAAACCCGAAACCCTTGGGTTTAGGGTTTAGGGTTTAGGGTTTAGGGTTTAGGGTTTAGGACCCCAACACCACCAAGCCCAACTTTTCTTTCAACCAGGCCTGTCAGATGAATCGTGGGCAGCCATCGGTGTTTTGCTACCCGGACATGAAGGAACTGCTCGAAGGCGCGCGCGTTCGTTCTACTAGTTTGATTTTGGGGGTTCGGGATTGAAGGGTTCGGGGGGGTTTAGGATTTAGGGCTCAGGGGTAGGGTAGGGTTTAGTGCTCCATCATTTGGACAACACTACTTCGGAGAGTTCCAGTGGCTTCTTGCACAAAGGCCGTCCAAATCGCGCTCACTACAGTCAAAGAGCCCTTTGACCTGTTGTTTGTTACCTTTGAGGTTTAGGGTTCAGGGTTTAGGGTTCCCTTAAACCCTAAACCCTGAACCCTAGACCATAAACCCTAAACCCTAAACCCTTTGCCGCAAACCCGGACGAGTCTTCCTGACAGGTCTGTCCAAGGCTTCAGAATATGGAGCCGACTTCACGAGCGAAACGCAGCTCGGTGCACGTGGGACAATTTCCTTTTCCAGGTTTAAGGTTTAGGGTTTAGGGTTTAGGGTTTAGGGGTTGGGTCACTTTGTTTTGGTTTGGGGTTAAGGGTTGGGGGGGTTATATCTTCTATCGGCACCGATACGACAGCGCGAACTCTAGAACACCGCCCCCCCCCCCCCCCCCCCCCCCCCCCCCCCCTTATTTCGCAGTCAGCGAACCCGCAGCCAACCCCGATGGAACCGCCATAAGCTATGCCGCGAACTTGGGATGTCCCCCCTTATAACTTACACAAACAGTCCTTTTTAGGGACTATAGTACCACCTATTAGAATCTCTATTAAGGACTGTTAGTATAAGGTCCCAGGCTATACTGCAAACCCTAAAGCTCTGAATCACAAGCAACAGCGCAAGGGTTAAGTGCTTAGGGTATAGGATTTGTGGTTGAGGGACTCCACTCTTGGACAACCCTCTACCAGGACCCGGAATTCCCTTCCAATCCCCTTAAATCCAAAAAGGGTACCCGGTTTATTCCTAGGCTACTTCTGGGTCTAGTCTAAACCCTACACCCTACACCCTAAACCCTGAACCCTAAACCCTAAGCCTAAACCCTAAACCCTAAACCCTAAACCCTAAACCCTAGGTTCCTATTGGACATACATGTGGTGGTGGAGCAGTTGCTTGGCTGGCCCTCTGCATGGACCGGGGTGAACCAGGCCGAGGGTTGATGCTTGTAGCCCTAAACCCTAAACCCTAAACCCTAAACCCTAAACCCTAAACCCTAAACCCTTTAGCGTTTTGGGTGGGAGGCCTTAAGTCCTAGAAGCCCTCAGTTGAAGCCCGAAACCCCAAGCCCTACAGAATCTAAGCCACGAAGCCTAAGCTGCTTGAGCATTGGGGTTGAAGTTTAGGGTTTAAGGTTTAGGGTTTAGGGTTTAGGGTTTCGGGCTTAGGGCTGAGAGCTGCAGGATAGGCTCATCTCGGGTTTCGACTTTCCCTTTTTGTTATTTGGGTGAGGATTAGGTTCCCTTACCAACCCCACCAGGAGCAGAAAAGGGCACCCCTTTCATTCCTAGCCTAGGTGGCTTAATACTCGAACTTTAGTTGTAGAGTAGGGAACCTTTAACCTTTTATTTTGGGTAATATAATTTCCTTATAATCCCAGGGGTTATCCTTTATTTCCCCTAGGTACTGGGCAACTAGGTTGTGGCTTTCCTTGCCCGAAACCCTAAACCCCAAACCCTCAACCCTGAACCCTTGAACTTTGTGGCTTTCCTTATTCTGTGGAACAAGGAAGCTTGAGCTTGGCTCGTGGTGAAGTAAGGATACTCGCGGACCTGGTTTAGGGTTTAGGGTTTAGGATTTAGAGTTTAGGGTCCGTTCTTCTCCTCGATCACCTGGGTGTAGTTTGGCATCACATCCCAAGCCCCAAGCCCTTGGTGAAACCCTAAAACCCTACACCCAATAAATCCTCATCCTTAAACCCTAGACCCTAAACCCTAAACCCAAGGACCTTCAACCCTAAACCCAAAACCCTCAATTCCTAAACTCCACGAACCCCCATTTCGAGCACTTGCAAAGACGGTTAGCCCATGCCCTGGTTGCCACAGGTCCTCGCATCGCGGCACCAATGGAGCAGCCCTCCGGCCGCAACCTCTTTCGAGGTATAGGGTTGTAAGGGGGGGGTGGGGGGGGGGGGGGGGGGGGTAGGGGGTCAGAGGTTTAGGGTTTAGGAGGTTTAAGGGGTTTAAGGCGGGGTTTGGGGGCTTAGGGGTTTAGGAGTTGGGGTTCAGGGTTTAAGAGGATCTTGTTTGAGGAAGGTATCTTGGTAGGCCAGGTGTGCCCTTTTCCCTTTTTGTTGATTCAAGGTTGTGCCCTTAATCCTGTAGCCAACCCCCAAAAAGGATACCCTTATTCCAATATGGTGGCTGGGCTACTGAGTTTAAGGCATTTAGCGTGTTTATTTAGGGGTTTTAGGGAGTTTAGGGGTCAGAGGTTCAGGGTTTAAGGGGTTGAGGGGTTTAGGGTTCAGGGTTTGGGCTCTGAACCCTCAAAACCAAACGATTACTGCATATGGTCAGTTCTCAACATGATGGTCCCTGTATGGGTACCCTAAATACGAGGGATCCCTTATCATACGAATTTCAAAAGGGACCCAATTTAGAGAACTTACCATTTAGGGTGTTTCGGTTTTAGGGGGTTTGGGGGTCAGAGGTTTACGTAGGGTTTTGCGGGGTTTAGGGTGCAGGTGCCAACGTGTATAGGGTATACTGGTTGGGAGTTACCACAGGCCCTGGTTTTATGGGGTTAGGACATACCATCCAAGCGAGTAGACTACAATTTTGGGCTACAGTTTCCTGCTTGGGGGACCCTGCCTTGGCTTTCAGGCAGGGTTTTGGACCCACGACCCCTAAGCCACACACATCAGATCATAACCTTTTTGGCGATGGGTAGTCCCCCTAGAACATCAAATCCGAACCCCTTAACCCTCCGCCCTCAACACTGAAACCCCCTAAACCGCCAACCCGCCTAAACCCCCCGTGAACTCCCATGAATAAACCCTAAACCCTAAACCCTACACCCTCCCATATCAACCTGAGGGCACTACTGCGACAAGATTCTCGGCGACTCGCCGATATGGAGACTCGGTCGCTCAGCGGTTTTGGGGGGCACCCCCCCACCCCCCTCCCCAGCGCGTGCGCCGGTAATGTAGTTTAGGGTGTAGGGTTTCGGGTTTAGTATATAGGGGTCGCTAATAGTATTCCCTTAGGGTCCCTTTATAAATATGCTACAATAACCCCCCAAAACCCTGTTCGAATTATGAAGGCCCCTATATTATGGTTTATTAGGTTCCCTTCGAACCCCATTAAGAAATCGACAGCCCCTTCCATTCCCAGGCTAGTCTGGAACAGGGCAGGCTTTAGTTGTCTGTCATCTTTTTGGCACCCTAAACCCTAAATCCAAAGCTCTAAACTACACTTCAGCCTACATCCAAAAAGCCTATCAGCCCTATGAGCCCTATCTGTAGGGTTTATAGGGTTACAAAGGGTTTTATAGGGGTTACAAGAGATTTAAAGGGTTTGTAGGGTTTTTAGGGTTTACAAAGTTCAGGGTTTGGAGTTTTTGTGGGACTAGGGTTCATGGGTTTGATGTTCGGGTGTCTGCAGGTATGCCCCGCCACTGGTTCGCAAGAGCTTTATCACACCTCGGTCGACCATTGCGCAAATCGAGAAGGCCCGCGAACGGCCCCTGGTGCTTAGTAGGGAATGAGGAAATTAGGGCCCTATATATACCCTTTAAGGGATTAGATAGGGTACTCAGTCCTCATTCCCTACTAAGAACCAGCCAGTCTTGCATTTCGGGTGGATGGTGCGTCTGCTGAGCCCAAAACACCCTCATTGAAACAAACCTATAAAAACACCCTGAACCCGGAAAGAAGAAATCAAGTTCTAAACCCTAATTAAGCCCTAACCCCCAGACCCTCTACAGCCCGAAATGACACCCAATAAAGAATTACACAAGCAGAACTTCGAGTCGAAAGAGGAGTTGAGGGCCTCGTTCAACCTGTTTAGATGCAGCCCCTGAACCTGAAAACCCTAAACCCAACACCCCAGTTTGCCGGAACTTTTCGATCAGCAAAGTTTAGGGTTTAGGGTTAGGGTTTAGGGTTTAGGGTTTAGGGTTTAGGGTTTAGGGTTTAGGGTTTAGGGTTCCGGGATCCTTACCAGCTGTGGAGGTCCGGGGTAGTTCTCACCGATTGATAACATTGCTGAGTATGACAGATGACCCAATTCTGACTGGCTGGTTCTTAGTATGAGGGAAGTAGGGCCCTGTAAAAACCCTTTAAGGGATTACATAGGGTACCCCGTTCCCTCATTCCCTACAAAGAACCTGCCAATTTTGATTCAGCTTGCTGCGTAAATGGACTTTCCATCGGCCTGCTAGCTTGTGGTACCCGTTTGCCCCGGTTTACGGTTTAGGGTTTAGGGTTTAGGGTTTAGGGTTCAGGGTTCAGGGATTCCGACGTACAGTAGCCAACCCCAAAGGGTACCCTCATTAGAATATGGTTCGATGCACTTTCCCTAAACCCTAAACCCTAAACCCTTAAACTAATATAGTTACTGGGCTACCAAGTTGGGGTCAGCATAAGTAGGCGTTGGAAGTATCCCGGACCTCCAAGTGGGAGCGCTGGTGGTGGTCCGCGTCACTTTTTTGAAAGGGTTCTGTTGCCAGGTACGCACAGACCCTTCGAAACCTGTACACTCCACCAAACGCCCTTATCACTGGACCCTGTCAACCCTGCGTTAGGGCCCTTAGCTCATCGGCGAGGGGTTTAAGGTTAAGAGTGTAAGGGTTCAGGGTTGGGTTTAGGGTTTAGGGATTAGGGTTTAGGGTTTGGGGTTTAGGGATGTTTCGGGTTTAGGGATGAAGGGCTTCGAGAAGGACCAGCCTTATGTGGCCGCAGCCTTCAGCCGCTACCTGGAAGAGTTGGGCAAGAATGGTGACGGCAAGACCAAGGTCGAGGGGGTGGGTGCAGGGTTTAGGGTTATAGGGTTTGGGGTTTGGGGTTTAGGGTTAAGGGTTTAGGGTTTAGGGTTTGGGGTTTAGGGTTTGGGGTTCAGGGTGTTTAGGGTTTAGGTGGGTGGAGGGTTTCTAGGTTTAGGACTTCGGGGTTGAGAATGGGGGGGGGGGGGGGGGGGGTGGGGGGTTGAGGGTCTTCGTGTTAAGGCGCCTTGAAACCACTATCCCTACATCCCTGGCTTTCTTCTGGTGGGGGAATTAAAACCCAAAAAAAATAAAGGGACCCCCTAAAACAAGGAAAGCTACTAAAAAACAACCACCCTAATGACTTATGCTGAGTACACCTGTCGGTGAAGCGCCCTGGCCCTGCATGGTGGGGCGGGAGTCCGGGAACCCTCAACCCTAAACCCCAACCCTAAACCCTCCTCCCTAAGTCCCAAGCCCTAAGCCCTAAGCCCTAAACCCTAAGCCCCTAAGCCCTAAGCCCTAAGCCCTAAACCCTAAGCCCCTAAGCCCCAAGCCCCAAGCCCTAAGCCCTAAGCCCTAAGCCCTAAGCCCTAAGCCCTAAGCCCTAAGCCCTAAGCCCTAAGCCCTAAGCCCTAAGCCCTAAGCCCTAAGCCCTAAGCCCTAAGCCCTAAGCCCGAGTCATGTGAACCCCCTGGAGCGGACCTCTTCGAGCACTACCAGCCACGCCGGGGGCCGGGGCTCGGGGGCCGGGGGCCGGGGGCCGGGGTTTAAGATTTAAGAATTCGGGGTTAGGGATAAGTAGGGGAAGGGTTGCAGGGTTGAAGGGTAGCGCCCGAGCCCAAGCCCGACCAAGTCCAAACCCTAACCTCAAACCCTGACCCCGAGTCGTACAGCCTTAAGCCCTAAACAAATAAAAGCTAGTAAGCCAACCTAGCCTGAGAGCCCGAACCCACCCTAAACCTTAAGCCCTAAGCCCTTAGCCCTAAGCCCCAAGCCCTAAGCCCGAAGCCCTAAGCCCTAAGCCCGAGTCATGTGAACCCCCTGCGCCAGGTTTGCTCAAAGGTGTTTTAGGGTGTATGAGGGATTAGGGATAGGGTTCCTGAGCCCGAGACCCTACACCTTAACCTAAACTCCAGCCCAAAATAAAAGCTAGTAAGCCAACCCAGCCTGAGAGCCCGAACCCACCCTAAACCTTAAGCCCTAAGCCCCAAGCCCTTAGCCCTAAGCCCCAAGCCCTAAGCCCTAAGCCCGAAGCCCTAAGCCCGAGTCATGTGAACCCAGCTCAAAGGCTGCCTTAGGGTGTATTAGGGATTAGGGATAGGGTTCGAGCCGAACGCTGGGGCTCGAGGGTTATGGGTTTATTAGCCTAGGGGTTTAGGGGTTTAGGACATTTGCAAGTGCTTGCAAGTGGAAGGCGTGCTCAGACAGGACTCGGGTCCCTGTTTGTCACGCCTTCATAAAAATCGAGTGGCCGTGCTCAGACAGAGCCTTGAGCTCTGTTTGTCATGGCACTCACCATTTTGAGTGTTCTGCTCGGACAGGGCCCCGGCTTTGTTTGTCAGAACTCTCTCATTCAGTCCGAGTGAAGCCAAGCCCGGGGCCCCAGCATGTCACATGTCAGGGTCAGAGCACGGGGCCTGAGAGAAGCCCTAAACCCACCAAGCCCCAAGATGAGCTTTTTTTTTCTAGACACTCTAACCAGTCCGAAGCTCCAGCCCGAGGCCCTAAGCCCTCCTATTAAGAACTTTTAAGCCCGAGGCCCTGAGGCCACTAAGCCCAGGGGTTGAGGCTTTCGGAAGTTGTCAGGCAGGGCCAGGTCAGGTCACAGATCTGAGTCTTGTCCGATGCATGAGTGCTAATAAACCCCGTTCAAACCCTTTGAACACTTGGGAGGTCCGACCGCCAACAACAGGAGGAGCGCGGGGCCCGAGCCTCCTGCGCGAGCCCCGGACATCTCACCCCGCCTGCAAGTGCCTATATTGTTGAAGGTGTTTTCGTCTTTTGGGGTCAGGGCAGCCATCCTAAACCCTAAAAGTCATTACACCCGACATGTCAAACTTGATTTTGGTGTTTTTTTTTCTTTCTGCTTGTGTTTGTATGGGTTTTGCCTATATTTTTGAAGGTGTTTTCGTTTCTTGGGGTCAGGGCAACCATCCTAAACCCTAAAAGTCACAACACCCCACATGTCAAACTTGATTTTGGTGTTTTTTTTATGCTTTCTGCTTGTGTTTGTATGGGTTTTGCTTATATTTTTGAAGGTGTTTTCGTTTTTTGGGGTCAGGGCAGCCATCCTAAACCCTAAACGTCACTACACCCGACATGTCAAACTTGATTTTGGTGGTGTGTTTTTTCCCTTTCTGTTTGTGCTTGTATGGGTTTTGCCTATATTTTTGCAGGTGTTTTCGTTTTTTGGGGTCAGGGCAGCCATCCTAAACCCTAAACGTCACTACACCCGACATGTCAAACTTGATTTTGGTGTTTTTTTGTTTCCTTCCTTTTTGTTTGTGTTTGTATGGGTTTTGCCTATATTTTTGCATGTGTTTTCTTTTTGGGGGTCAGGGCAGCCATCCTAAACCCTAAACGTCACTACACCCGACGTGTCAAACTTGATTTTGGTGGGCTTAGTTTTCTTGGGTTGAGGCTTTACAGCTCAATTTCAGAGCGACAAGCAAAACCAGTACAGAATGGCGCAGCAATGCTTGTGCTTTGCGTGTCTCTGCACGTGACGTGTACAGAAACAGGTACATGAAAAGAGCCCACTAGGGTTTAGGGTTTAGGGTTTAGGGTTTTAGGGCTTTAGGGTTAGCTGGCCCCACAAAATAGTATGTATTCTTATTTCTTTTAGGGGCCGCTGAGCAGCCTAGGACCAGCTCCGGCAAGACACACTCGGCTGTGACCTCGGGTGTCACGCCCTAAGCCCTAAACCCTAAACCCCAAACCCTAAACCCTAATTCCTAAACCCTAAACCCTAAACCCTAAGAGGGTTACACCCTAAACCCTAAACCCTAAACCGTTGACTTAAACACCTTACCCTAAACAAAACCCTAAACCCTGAACCCTGAACCCTAAACCCTAAACCCCTAAACCGTTGACTTAATAAACACCTTGCAAACCACCCTCTCCAGAATATACAAAAAGGAAAGACAGAAATGAATCCCTTAGATTTGCTTGAGAAAAACATAATTTTCAGTATCTGAAAATGATGTTTACAGGGTTCCTGTCTGGTTCTGGCCTTAAACACCTTACAAACCCTTTTTCCAGATTAAAAACACAGCAAAAGCAGAAATGAAACCCTTAAATTTGCCCGGGAGAATAAGAAAAACTTCAAAATTGTGGTTTTTTGCGTTCCTGCCCGCCATGCACCCGCTGGGGGGTACCGAGTGTTTTTCTCGGGCACGGGAACTCGCACATTCGCAGAATCACAGCTCAGACATGGTGATTGCCCTGATTGCTGGCAAGCATCAGACAAGTCGAGAAGAAGTTGTCCATGAAGATTGTCCACCTTGCCCGTCTTCTTGCACCCATCTTGCACCTTCACGACGTTGCTGCGCTTTGCTGCGAAACTCTTTCAAGTCCTGAATACAGCCTGCCATGGCTTTCTCATGCGGAGTCGGCTCTGCCTTGGCATCGGGCTTGACCTCAGCCACCTCAGTGTCAGACTTGGCCTCGGACACCTCAGTCTCAGGCAGTACCTTCGCTCGACTGCCGGCCCGGCAGCTTGCGCCAGTGTGAGCGAAGGTACACTAGCCTGCAAAAGTCCCTGAGTGGCAGGCTGAACTCGAATGAGATGACACTGTGCGACAGTGCGACAAGCCTTATCCAGAATACAAAACAGAGCAAAAAAACAGAAACGAAACCCTTAATTTGACTTGCGAGAATAACACAAACATCATTTCTGTTATCTGAAAATGATATTTTCGGTATTTCCCGTATAGTTCTGGCCTTGAAAAACCTTGAAAACCCACGTTTAAAAGGCCTTAAACACCGTACAAGCCCTTTTTCCAGAATAAAAACACAGCAAAAACAGAAATGAAACCCTTAAATTTGCTTGCGAGAATATCAAAAACATCATTTTTGCTATTTGAATGAAAATGATGTCTTCGGCGTTCCTGTATGCTTCTGGCCATGAAAAGCCGAACCCACTGTGAGAGGCTTCAAACACCTTACAAACCCTTCAATTTGCTTGTGAGAATTACAAAAACACCATTTTTGGTATCTGAAAATGATGTTTTCGGCGTTCCTGTATGGTTCTGGCCTTGAAAAACCCACTTTAAGAGGCCTTAAACACCTTACCCTTTTGCCAGACTAAACACACAGCAAAAACAGAAATGAAACCCTTCAATTTGCTTGTGAGAATTACAAAGAAACACCATTTTTGGTATCTGAAAATGATGTTTTCGGCGTTCCTGTATGGTTTTGACCTTGAAAAGGCGTGAAAAAGTGAAAAACCCGCTTTAAGAGGTTGAAAAACCGTGAAAAACTCACATTAAGAGGCCTTAAACACCTTACAAACCCTCAGAAGAATAGACAAAACAAAAAGACAGAAATGAAACCCTTAAATTGGCTTGCGAAAATAACAAAAACATCATTTTGGGTATCTGAAAATGATGTTTTCGGCGTTCCTGTATAGTTCTGGCCTTGAAAAGCCGTGAAAAACCCGCTTTAAGAGGTTGCAAAACCGTGAAAAACTCACGTTAAGAGGCCTTAAACACCTTACAAACCCTCAGAAGAATAGACAAAACAAAAAGACAGAAATGAAACCCTTAAATTTGCTTGCGAAAATAACAAAAACATCATTTTGGTTATCTGAAAATGATGTTTTCGGCGTTCCTGTATAGTTCTGGCCTTGAAAAGCCGTGAAAAACCGCTTTAAGAGGTTGCAAAACCGTGAAAAACTCACGTTAAGAGGCCTTAAAGACCTTACAAACCCTCTGAAACCCTTAAATTTGCTTGCGAAAATAACAAAAACATCATTTTGGCTATCTGAAAATGATGTTTTCGGCATTCCTGTATGGTTCTGGCCTTGAAAA